ATAAACCAAACAACTAATCAAAACTTTTATATTATATTATATATATATTAAATTGTTTTTTTTATTTTTATTTTTTAAATAAATAAGTTTTTAAAAAAAAATTAATTTAATTTTCAATTTCAATATTATTGGTTTTTTAATCACAAAAATATAATAAATTTTAAGATTTGAATTTCTGTACAATTATTATTTCTTAAATTTTAAATTTCAAGTTTTTTTAATTAAATAATAACTTTTGTATATCTAATTAAATATTGTAAATCAATAGATATTTAAAAAAATATATTCATTTTGTTGATAGTATAAATTCAAATGAATCAATTTAGTTAATTTTTTTTTTTAAAAAAAAACTTTAAGAAATAATCATAAATTTTTGAATTTAAGTTTAAATTTTATTTTTATTTAATAAACATTGCTTAGATTTTCCATTTCCAATTTTGATTTCCGGCTTTCGAATTTTTACATACCGGAAATAAAGTTCGAGAATCTACTTAACAATTGGGTGCCTCATAAAAAAATCTCAAAGCATATGACTAGAGATGTGATATACATTTTATTATGAATAAAGTTGACTAGTTGATATAAAGTTAAAGTCATGTGATATAATAATAAAGAGTACATAGTTCAACATTTGCGTTTGTTGCCTGAGATTCTTTAGAAAAAACCAATCAACTTTCCTAATCAGAAATAATATCCCGCATAGCATCATGATATTATTGCTTCATATTAGCTCAATAACTCCTTAAATCCGGATGAGTTCGGTTCTTCAATAATGTAGTCGATTTGTTCGGGAGGAGTGTGATGATTTGATCTATTAAAATATTCGTTTGCGATCCTCTGAACTTGTTGCTATGAATGTAGTTAGAATACTAAGCGAAAATTTACTGTAAAATGTAAAGACAAAAAGTTAACACACTGTTTTCACCTCTATATTATCAAAATGGAAAATTGTCAATATCAATAATGGAAATAATGCCTTTTCCGTTACTAATTTGGTGGCAAGCAAAGGCCATGATCGATACATAGCATCATATTGTAAATCCATAATATATGAGTTTACATCATCCCCTGGAATATCAAACGTATTTTGTTAGAATCATAGAAAATTTGCAAGTATAAAATATGTCTAAAAATACTACCCATATTTAATAAAATAATTGCTTGATTTGGACCACCTTCATTTAACAACTGATTTATTGACTTCTTTGATCGTAATTGTACCTTGATAAAATCTTTGTTTTTTTGTAATTCTGTACAACCCAAAGGCTTTACTTCGGAATTTAATATTGTAATATCATCGACTCTACAACTAAAATCTGGTCTTTTTAGAGAACCCTTTACGCTTTTATCCAACCTTACTTTGTAATATTTTGAATCTCCACAGAAAAATGACCTCAATAAAGGGTCTAGGTAATAAAATCGATGCTCATTTTCGGTGATTTTTTTTGTTTGTGCTGATGTTAAGTCTTCTTTTCTAAAAATTTTATTTCCAGTCTTTAGTTTTTCATTGATTATTTCGTATAATATCAAAAGATCTTGATGTTACCTACAGATTATTGAATATTCGACTAGCTTTTTTACTCAAATTGTTTTCATCATTTGATACGAAATTACCATCTAATCCCATTGCAATGTTAATGCATGCCTCAATTAATGAGGATGCAAAGGGTTTAGTCCAAATCGGTTCTTTAACAGCATAAGGATTGGTATTAACTACTTGTTTCCATTCATCAGGGGTAAAAGTAGAATATGGGCACGGTTTAATCAACACGATTATTGATGCAAGTGCTCTAAAATATAAACGCGAGAAGATTAAATTGGCGTATATTTTCAAGGAATATACAATAAACAGCATACTTTAAAAGTACTTACAATATATCGTACTTGTTATCCCATGTTATTTTTATACCTTCTCTTACATTTTCCATTATGTTTTCTATTAACTTCAATTGGTATTCTTTGAACTTTCTTGACACATTAATTGTTCCTACGATCCACTAAATAAAATTACAAATTTCTGTTATATAAAATTAACAAATCAAAAAGTTCAATTTACTGCGCACCTCATTTCTTGATTGAGATTTTAACTGCTTTTTTAATTCATCCAATTTTGAAACAATTGCTTCACTCTCAATCTCATCAACCTCACTTTCATTACTTTCGCTTTCATTATCCTCGCTCTCATCATTCTCATCGTTATCGTTCTTATTGTCATTATTATCATTGATAAGTTCGAGAGGGAAGTGGTTGACTTCGATATTATTTTCAATTGATGGAAATTTTTCAATTTTCTTGCTTCTATTGGACTTTTGCTAGATTTTATATAATTTGATGTAGATGCCTTTAGAGTTTTTAACTAAAAAATAAATTTCATCTATGAAATGTACCTTTTTATTTTCTGAATATTTTAGACTTGTATCAGAATCAAGTTCAGAGTAATCAACGGGCTTTCGTTTTCGAATCATTCTCACATTTGAAGGCTCACCTTCCTAAGGAGTTTATAAGAATATTTCGTTAATGACTGTAAGTAATTGCAAGAAATAAAACAAGACGTATAACGTTCTCACCATATTTTCCACAGCAATTGTATCTGTGCAAATGATGAATTAGGGAATGTTAATAATCCAATGTTTCGAAGTGCGTTTATAGTAATACTGATAAAAAAATATTCTTACCAACTTCGTTATTTTGTTGTACTCTAGAAACGTCAGTGATACCTATTGCAACATGTTTTGCTCGAACTTGTTGTAGTAGCGTGTAATCATGAGCTGCAGTAGCACGAAGTTTCTCACGTTCTAATATTAAGTCCCAAAATGATGCAACTTCCTTGGACTAACAGAATGCATTATCAATTTATTGAGTCTGTTCATATTTAGGCAGATTAGGGAATCATAATCTTACTGATAGTTCTTTTTTTAATTTTTTTGCATGATCCCGAGCGAATTGTGGAAGATTTTGATCCTTACTTAATATCATCAGATTTTTCGTATATTCTCTGTGGATCGATTCCCGTTCAGAACTTATTAGGTTCTGTTCCAAATCAAGCTGACGCAGAAATTCAATGATCTTGCATGTCATAAAAGGAACTGACAAAAAGTAGTCACTCATCCCCTTAAGTAAAAAAGGAAGCACAAACTAGTTGAGGAAAGTATAGATATTAGTATCTTTCAAAATCAAAAAAATTAAACACACCAACAAACAAATACTCACTGTCTTTGGATTCATAACAGATAATAATTCTCTTGTTCGTAAGATACGTAACGCGTCGCGTTTTAACACTCGTGTAACATTTTTTTATGATTTGATCGCTGTTGTGCACAACGTTGCACCTGAAAAATATCTCTCTTATGGGAGCATGGAATTGGTGTTTACAACACCCACGAGCTACCGCCATTTGGAGGCGCCCTCGTGTGTGCAACCCTTCTCCCTTTGGAGAAGCCGGCTGGTAATACCTCTTCTTTGGGAGTGTGGAATTGACTGTTACAACACCCATGAGCTACCGCCCATTTGGAGGCGCCCTCGTGTGTGCAACCTTTCTCCCTTTGGAGAATCTCGTTGGTAACTGCCAATCCCCCATCCACAACTCCAACTTCCCCACACGACCATTAATTAACATTTCTGGCCAGCAAAAATAACAAGAGTAGGGGTGGCAACATGCGAAAGGGATAAAGCTTTTTTTGATTTTAGGCCATCTTATGCAGCAAACATTTCTCTAACTTGGAAATTGTGATATTAGATTTGGTCAGATTCTGCAATCAGATGTAAATAAAAGTTCCAATTTCGCAATTAAGGTAGGAATATTCCGATTGTGTCAATGAATCAACTTCTGGATTTGCAAACTAGTAACAGATTTCTGAGAAATTTCTTAGCAACGTAACATAAACTTTAGCGGATTTTTAACTTTTTGTCAGGTTCAAAGATAATAATTCAACTGTCGGATAACGAATAACCGATT